AATTTTTAAATTTTTTATTTTAAAATTGTGGGGTACAGTTCAGGGTTAGGTATACAAATATTCATTGTGCAGTTACCCTTGTTGATGAGGTGTGCTCCCCCTTCCCCAGGCAGATTCCCACTACTGCCAATCCCACCTCCCCATTCTCCCCACCCCCCGCAGTTTCCCGCTACTGTCAATCCTTTTCTTATAGTATTACGATAGTTGTTAAAGGTTCACTTATGAATGAGAACATGTGATACTCAGTTCTTCATTTCTGTGAAAGATCATTCAGTATTATAGATTATAATTCCATTCAGGTTGCTGTGAAGCTCATGATTTTGTTCTTCTTTATGGCTATGTAATATTCCATTGTGTTTATGTGCCGCATTTTTTTTAGCCAGTCCTTTTTTGAAGGGCAGCACAGTTGGTTTCATGTTCTTGCTATTGTTAACAATGCTGTGATAAATATACGTGTGTGGGTATCTTTTTTATAGAGTGACTTGATTTCTTCTGGGCATATTCCCAGTAGGGAGATTGCGGGGTCATATGGAAGGTCGATTTTTAGACCTTTTAGGAATTGTCACACTGTTTTCCACAGAAGTTGTACTAGTTTACACTCCCACAAACAGTGTAGAAGTATTCCCTTTCTGCCATATCCTCTCCAGCATCTGTTATTTTTTGAGTTATTGATGGTGGCCATTCTGACTGGAGTTAGGTGGAATCTCAGGGTAGTTTTAATTTGCATTTCGTGGATGACTAGTGAGGCCGACCATTTTTTCATCTATCTGTTGGCTACTCGTATATCTTCTTTAAGAACAGTCTATTCATATCTTTTGCCCACTTTGTAATGAGGCTGTTTGTTTTTTTCTTTTCAGCATGTTTGAGTTCCTTATAGATCCTAGATGTTAGGCCTTTGTCAGACGTAGAGTTAGCAAATGTTTTTTCTCAGTCTGTGGACTGTCTCCCCGCTCTCTTGATGGTTTCTCTGGCTTTGCAGAAGCTTGTCAGTTTGATGAGGTCCCACTTGTTTCTCTTATCTCCTATGGCATGGGTTCTTGGGGTTTTGTTCAGGAATTGGTTGCCAGTTCCAATTTCCATAAGAGTGTCTCCTGCATTTTCTAAGGTTCTTGTAGTTTGGGGTTTTACGTTTAGGTTTAAAAACCATTTAGAGTTGGTTTTTCTGTATAGGGATAGGTAGGGGTCCTGTTCAATCTTGTGCACGTGGTCAGCTAAGTTTTCCTTGCACCATTTACTAAATAGTTTCTCCTCTCCCCAGTGGTTGGTGGTGGAGGCTTTATCAAAGATGAGTTGGTTGAGAAATTGAGGTTTTGCTTCTGGAATCTCAATTCTATTCCATTGGTCTATATGCCTGTTCTTGTACAAACACCAGGCTGTTTTGAGTATTGTAGCTTTATAGTAAAGTTTGAAGTCTGGGAGTGTGATACCTCCTGCTTTGTTTTTTTGCTAAGGATTGTTTTGGCTATGCTTGGTTGTTTATGTTTCCATATGAATTTCTGTATTGTTGTTTCTAGGTCTGAGAAGAATGTTTCTGGTAATCTGATGGGTATTGCATTAAATCTGTAGATTGCCTTAGGTAGAATGGACATCTTAACAATGTTGATTCTTCCAATCCATGAGCATGGAATATTTTTCCGCTTGTTTGTGTCATCTTTGATTTTTTTGAGCAGTGTTTTATAGTTTTTGTTGTAAAGGTCTTTCACATCTCTGGTTAGGAAGATGCCAAGGTGTTTCATTTTTTTGGCTATTGTGAATGGAATTGTGCTTTTTATTTGGGTTTCTGGTGGTTTATTATTGGTGTATAGAAATGTGATTTTTTGCACATTTATTTTATACCCTGTGACTTATGATTTTAAAATGACCTTCCTATAAGATGGTAACACTTTTATGGGTGCCTTTTGCAACAAAGTAGGATCTACTTCACAGTAAATCACATTTTAATCCTTCGTAGTACTAACTTGTGGAATATAAAACAGTTATATGTCAAAAAGTCATCTTTTATTTAATTTTCCCTGAACTGAACTCTTTTTAATTTGGGGAAAAGAATATGCCACAAATTTATGTAATCCATTAAGAAAGTATGTTCATTAAATAAATATTTACTAGATGTTTTGCTGGGCACTAAAAATACAAGGTTGAAGAAGAAATGATTGGTTAGATTAAGGAGTAATGAAGGGAGAGTCAGAGTTATTACAAATTCTTGGCTGGGGTAACTGGGTTGTGCTATTTCCTGGAATAGGGAATATGATACAACATGAATTCAGTGATGTTTATATCATGTTTTATTTTAGGAAAATTACAAAACTTTTGTCTTAACTCTTCATGTATATAATGGAAATAATAATAATATTTACCTCATATTATCATTACAAGTATGAAATAGAGTAAAACATGGAAAAAGTTTAGAATAATGTTTAGTACATAGAAAACACTGAACACATGTTAGTTATTGTTGTTGAGTTTTAGGTGCTTGCATGATATTCAAGTGGAGATATTTAAGACAGCTGGCTATGAGATCCTATGTTTTCGGGAAACATTGATATTTGAGATATCTTAAGGAAAGAAAGAGAAAATGTAAAAAAAAAAAAGGCGTCCAATGTAATACCAGTATTTAAAGGACAGGCACAGGTAGAGAAATAATGTTCCACAGAGAAAAATAAGAATGATTATTTTTTAATACAAACATGGACAGGCATCATAAGCCAGTTTTTTTTTAAGCAGGACCTCCAGAAATACACATATTATGTCATTTTCTGTTTGTGAGTGTTACCAAATTACAATACAAAACAGAATAGTTGTGAGATTACATAAGTGCCTAACAGAAGATAGCAAAGGGCAGGCAACAACAAATGTCAGCCTTCCCTACCACCTATGTTAGGAATTATGTGGAGGAACTCACTAACAACCCTCCCTACACAAGTTTTCTATGGTTTCTGTTTAGTAAACTTTCTACCTTTCAAAGACTTTGGGATTCTTCTTTCAATTCATTTTGCTACTGTTCAGTAGCTTCCCTTCTCTCTTTTTTGCTATGATATTGCTCAGTCTGCTAGGTAGGACCACAACATTATTGAATATAATGTGAGAAAATTTCAGAATATGTCATTTATAAGTATATGGTATTGCTAATGCCAACACAATGAAGCTTTTTAGCACCCTTCACTTTCAATTTCTAGTTTACTTCTTTCTTATCTGTAACCCAGATAACAGCTTTATGTTTGAAAAAATGTGGTTTTCTTCAAATATTATCCTCAAGTTTTGGCAGAAGTATGTTCAAAATACCAGCTGACATCCCAAAAGGTAGCTGTTTTCCACTTATGGAAATCTAACTAGTTTTTTTTCCTTCTCGCTTTCTTTCTGACAGACACTTGTGATCAGATTTTTGCTACTAGCTCTGCCAGTAACAGGCTATGTAATAATTTGCGGCAATCTAGCTCTAAATTTTTTTTCAATTTTTAATTTCTCCCCTCTTGCTTTATTTTCTTCAAAATAATTGAGGTTGATGAATACTAAATTATCATAATTTTAATTAAACAACAAAGGAATATATTTGTAGAAAATATGAAATGTAGTAATATGTCAAGAATAAGTATTATCAAAACTGCAGAAATGTTTTGACCTGTCATTAATTGGCTAACATTTACTTCATTAGCTTTGAAGTAACAAGTGGAAACTGACCAGAAGTAGTCTTTTCAAAGTACTTACATTTATTTTAGGATGACTGCTGAATTATTCAATACAAAATTATCTAAGCTCTGTAAATTAAACTCAGTAATTACAATACACACACACACACACACACACATACATACACACTCACACATCTCCTTCAGGGTGGGAATTAAATTCTGCTGTACCTTAACCTCTAGAGATATGTGTCTTCAATGATCCATTAGTCAGTTTCCTTGTATATATGGATGATTTCTTTTTCTCAGTTGCTGCCCAAACTGTCACCATGGGTAGGATCTGGTAAGAGGGTTCCCAGAACAAGGCCTGGCCAGAGAGTCTCCAAGCCTTAGGAAAGTAGAGGGACGGCTTGTATCTCTGCAGTAGGGAGCATAAGCCATGAAGCTAAAAGCTGTCAGGGTTCTTACGTTTCACAGTGGTGAAATCTCTTTCTGTGATTGGATCCCTTAGGGGTATTAAAGTTCACACCCTTACTATGATTGGTTGTATGTAGGTTAACTAATTCTAACATGTTAATCTAAACATCATTAGTACACATGCTGGCTCTGCTAGCTCCAACTTTTTGGCTGTAGAGATATTTACATCAGGCATCCCTACAGTGTAGATGCTGATAAGATATGGTGGGCCCTCACTGGTAGGTAGGTAGCCCTCCTATACTGGTGTTGATAAGGGCTGTGGTCAGAACTAAGACTTCAGTCACAATTCAAATAATTATTCTGAGTAGAAAAATGACTGTGGTGTATTCTTTATTTTTTTCTATAGTAAACATGTATTCCTTTTCTGTATTAACTTTATAGTCAGAAAATTATTATAAGATGTTTAATGTTTTAAAGGCTTTCTCTGGCTAATTTATCTTCAATCAGCTAATGAATTTCCACTCTGAATAATCCTGCAACTCTAGTACTCTACAACGAATCTGAGAGCTTCTCTGATGCGTTCCTTCTACCCTTCTTCATCCCTGATGAAATTCTGTGAATTTGTGTAAACTTTATAGACGGGGTTTCCTAAACTTATTGCCATCTTCCCTATTAAACTCTTGAAGTCAGTATGTTCAAATATCCCTTCGTCTCTGATATGCCTTTTACTTTTACAAAAAAGAAATAGAGTACATGACCATGTATGATATAATTTAGGGATGGTTTGTGTTTTTCCTTTCAAATCTTACACGTTTCCCCACATTAGTAGATAGTATGAATTTTTTATCTTTAAATTAAGTTAGTTTTGTCTAGATAGTCATTTGATCTTTTTGAATCCTAACCATGCATGTGCTTGAAAATTCACAAATGACCTTATCTTTCATTCTTGTTCAATTGCAGGGAGAGAGGGGGTTTCCAGGTTTGGAAGGCCATCCAGGTTTGCCTGGATTTCCTGGTCCAGAAGGGCCTCCAGGACCTCGGGGACAAAAGGTATGTGTCAATTTGTCAACCAGTAATACAAGATGAATTAAGCCATCTTAAATGTTAGACTAGGTGTAAAATCAACTAAAAAAATTACTGAATTGTGGACAAAAAGTAATATTTAAATGAAACAATGGAATAATGGGGAGTCTTTATTGTTATTTTAAACTGAATATTAATGCCATATTCAGATGCTGTTGGAAGATGCTGTTAATAGTATATGATTATTGAGATCCTTCACAAAAATTATTTTCTATCAGGAGCTTACTTGAACTAGAGAGACCTGAGCTACCAGTTGTTAGAGCAGCTGAATAAGACAAAGGAGCCAAAATGAAAGTAACATTCAGGGCCGGGTGTGGTGGCACAAGCCTGTAATCCCAGCACTTTGGGAGACCGAGGTGAGAGGATTGCCTGAGCCCAAGGATTCGAGACCAGCCTGGGCAACTTAGTGATGCCTTGTCTCTACAGTATATCAAAAAATTACTGTCTATAGTTCTGGCTACTTGGAAGGCTGAGGCAGAAGGATTGCCTGAGCCCAGCAGGTCAACGCTGAGGTGGCCAAGAGTGTGCCACTGTACTCCAGTCTGGGCGACAGAGTGAGACTCTGACTCTAGAAAAAGAAAAGTAACATTCAGGTCTTTATTCACTACTGCAATATTATAAGCAAGAAATTAAATTGGAGAAAGTGCTGACTCCCCCACTGTTCCATTTGTCCCCTTGGCATAGCATCAGCAAGGGTCAGGTGGATAAGCACAGATGTTGGAAATCATTTCGCTGCTGAAGGAGGTCAGAACAAAAAGCTCCTGCAGTTATATGGACCCAGTGGCAGGGTGGGAGAAGGAGAAATGCTAGGAATGGAAAAGTACTGAGTCAGAGTACAGAAAAAGTATTTTCAAGGTTTCCTTCTCCTTCCATAAGGAGATTGCCACCAAAAGAGGGCTTTAAATGCAGATATGTGTATGAGTACAGCCAGCCAGGGCAAGCCTGAGTCTTTTCCTGAAACTCTCTGCAGTGTAGTAGCTGTGCACCACGTCTGATGTGTGGAGGGCAGCTGTCCTTTATAAGGCCTACTGTGAGTTCTTTCGTTGGACCTAAAAAAATTACACATAACTGTTTAGACAGGAGCCAGACTCCTCAATTCCACACCTTTGTTTTTCAACCTGAGTGAGAAACATAGGCTGCCCCATCACGGACCTGATTTGATTGGACTTTAGGTGGTAATATCAAAAACAGGGTAATTAATCTGAGGCCACAGTGGATCATGGTCATGATCAATCATATTCCAAGCAAGATGATCAGGCCTGCCTGAAAGAATGGAATGTAACCATGAGCCCTAGCTGTTGCCAAGCCAGGAATAGATGTCCCATAGCCCACTAGATCTATTTTAGAGAGCCAAAAGCCTTTATTCTTGTCTTGAGATGGAATGTTCTACTTTGCCAGTTTCCATGATCTAGGTGCAACGTGAGGTGCTGGCAATACCATCAATGACCTCTGTTCAAGGACAGGTTGCACACAATCTTTTCTAATTGAATAACCCCAACAGTGGGAAAAGTTGTCTGGAGCATATGTATGAGTAGAGAAGAGGTAATGTCAATTCCCAATGCTCCTGAGTAATCAGAGTCTATCTGGTTTGGTAGTTACTGTCTTACTCTGTATAGTGTAATATGCTTAATGGGAAAGCCTGTTTTAAATACTTGGGAATCTGTTATCGTGTCCTTAGCTATGTGTATTACATTAGTAGGAATGTTGAAAACCTAGTTTTTACAAAAGAAATAATACCCCAAGGGGAATGCACACAGTTCTGGGAATGTAAGAGTAATTGATTACCATGGGGAACAATCAGCCATAAGTTCCTGCTAGTGGGTAGAATATTTGAGTGGAATTGAAAAAATTATGTAAGGTAGGTGTAGGTATAGAAGAAGAAAAGGCTGCCACCATCGAGGCTAAAATGGCTCTAATGGCAGATCCCATGTCTTTTCCCAGATGTTTTAATTCCTGTCAAGTGGGACAGGAGCAAGTTGAGGAGCCATTTTGTCCCTACAGCATCAGAGACAATTAGGGCAATGTATCAAATCCAATATAATAAGGTTGGAGTACCTGAGGTACTAAAATTGTCCACGTAAGAGAAACCTCCATTTGTAGTATTAAGCATCACAACAGTCACATGTTTATGTGCAGGATTATGAGATAGGTGAAATATCCAGTAGTTTATAAAGTTCAGAGTGGTGGCAACTACCTGAACAGGCATATCAATGAATTTGGCAAGGTGAAGTTACAACGTTTGTCAGTGGGAGAAAAAAGAGGATTTAAATCCACACTCTCCATCTCCCATACCCAGGCACATGGATCTGAAGGTGTTTTTTTGTTGTTGTTTGTTTGTTTGTTTTGAGTTGGAGTCTCACTCTGTCACCCAGATTGGAGTGCAGTGGCCGCGCCCGGCCACCGCAACCTCGACCTGCTGGCCTCTGGCGATCCTTCCGCCTCAGCCTTCCAAGTAGCCAGAATTACAGGCATGCGCTACCACGTCCGGCTGATTTTTTGATTTATGGTAGAGATGAGGTCTCGCTGCCCAGGCAGGTCTCGAACCCTCGGGCTCAGGCAATCCACTCATCTCAGCCTCCCAAAGGCACGGGATCACAGGCTGAGCCACCGAGCCTGGCTTCTGAAGGTGTTTTCATCCTGTCGGTTGAGAAAACTGTGTCCATTGCCTGCAATATGGGCGATCTGTCCTGTACCATGATCAAGGATAGCATCTTTCTGTGTATGTTAAGATAGGGAATGGGAAAAAATAATAATGAATTTAAGATTGGGAGGTTTCTGTTTTTTCTTTAAATGTCTCTTTTGGCTCAGTTTCCTTTTCCATCTGTATTAAGTATACTTGTGAAGTGATAAACGAGCAGGCCTGTTCTGTTTACTTGCCTGGAAAAAAAAGACACCTTTTTTCCTAATATTGTTATATAATGGTGGTACATCATGTTGTTAGAGTATTAAGGAAATCAAATGGATACTCACCAGGTAGTCTTCCCAATACAGAGAGAAAATTAATGTAAATGCATGAATACTTTTTAACACCTTATACCAGAGCTGAGATTTTTGGGAGAATGCTGGCCATGATCTCTGAGGAAGTAGCAGTATGTCAGATAGTTTTGTTAGATTCAAAAGCAGAAGGGACCTATGCTAAATTTCCTAAGTAGAATTTTAGCACTGAGGAAACAGCAGGGCCCTAAATGACTGCATATAATTTCAGTAGATGGGCCACTCAATTGAATTCCCTGTGTCTAATGCCACAGCAATAGCAAAAGCAGCGGAATGATTCTTGTGCGCCCAGAAGTGGTACAGAAGTATCAGAGAGATCTGAAAGAGACAAGTGGATGGAATTGAGCATTAACTCAGCAGCAATCCATGCAGACCTTTGGCATGGGACATATCAATGAGTTCCAGCTTGGACTAGATTGGCATACTCCTCAACACATTGGAAGTACTTAAGCTCTCCGAAATGTAGGCATAATCTTGTGAAAATTAGGTGGGGACTCCAATGGACTGAGATTAAATTTCTGTCATGTTATGGAAATGGGTACTTTGGAATATAAATTAAGTTGTTCCAAGGAAAAAGTTATATTTCTTGCATTTGCATTTACCTGGGATTAGGGGCCATTTTTTTTCACACTATGCTTGCCAAAAAATGGCAGTTTAATAAATATTAGTGTTAAATTAAAAGAAGTTACCTGCATCATCAGAATTCCTTTGAAATAATTTAATAATAACTGGGACTATTCTACAGTAGTATGACAGTTTATAACGGTGTGCTTGTATGCAGTTTAAAGTTTAGAAAGCAGTCCAGTCTTTTTCTGTGATTTCATTTCAGTATCTGTAATGTGAGAAGGTAAAGTGCTTTCTAAACTTTAAGAATTCTGAGTTTGAAGTACATTGTACTTCTGTGTCTACTATGACTTCATGTTTCCCAACATAGCTGAATTTATATTGTTTATGTAAATTTTTAAGATGCTTTTTTAAAAAAGATGTGTACGTTTCTTTAAGTTGTGGGGTACAATTCAGGGTTAGGTACATAAGTGGTCATCATACAGGGCAAGTTTGGGCCTCCCATTGGTCTATCTCCCCACTCTCTTGATGGTTTCTTTTGCTTTGCAGAAGCTCTTCAGTTTGATGAGGTCCTACTTGTCTATCTTATCTCTTATTGCATGGGCTTTTGGGGTTTTGATCAGGAATTAGTTGCCAGTTCCAATTTCCAAAAGGGTGTCTCCTGCATTTTCTAAGGTTCTTATAGTTTGAGGTTTGAAGTTTAGGTCTTTGATCCATTTAGAGTTGATTTTTGTGTATGATGATAGGTAGGAATTTTGTATTAATCATCTGCATGTGGTCAGCCAGTTTTCCTGGCACCATTTACTGAATAAGTTCTTTTCCCAGTGGCTGTTAGTAGAGGTTCTGTCAAAGATTAGTTCGTTGAGAAGTTGAGGTTTTGCTTCCAGAATCTCTATCCTGTTCCATTGGTCTATATGCCTGTTCTTGTACCAATACCAGGCTGTTTTGATTATTGTAGCCTTATAATAAAGTTTAAAGTCTGTAAACATGATACTACCCACTATGTTTCTTTTTTTGAGGATTATTTTGGCAATTCATGGACATTTATGTTTTTGTATGAATTTATGTATTGTTGTTTCCAGGTCAGAGAAAAATTATGCTGGTAATTTAATGAGTATTGCGTTAAATCTGTAGATTGTCTTGGGTAGGATGGACATCTTAGCAATGTTAATTCTTCCAATCCATGAACCTGGAATAATTTTTCATTTGTGTCATCTTTGATTTCTTTGAACAGTGTTTTAAAGTTTTCATTGTAAAGGTCTTTCACGTCTCTAGTTATGAAGATGCCAAGATATCTCATTTATTTTGTGGCTACTGTGAATGGGATTGTACTTTTTATTTGGTTCTCTTCCTGTTTTTTGTTGGTGTATAAGAATGCAACTGTCTTATGCACATTGATTTTGTACCTT